CGGTATGCATAAACTTGAGATTCGGAGTAAGCATTACACAATCCCCAATATTATTTTTTGAAAAAAAAAAAAAAAAAAGAACCGATGTTCCATTTTTCTACCACAAATCATATTTTGACACTAAGAAATGAGATTTTTCTAAAAAGAGAAATGACGTACAAAAATTCATTTGGAATAAGAGTTTTTTTATTAACGTAGATTCCTTTAATTTCTAAATTCGATGGAGGGTGAGCTACATAACAAGTTTATCGATCTACTTATCTAGGAATGAGATCAATGTGGTAGCATCGCCCTTTGTAACGATAGATAAAAAAAAAGTTCATAAATCCATTTAGGGGTGGGTGCGGGTCGGTTCGGTTCGATTCTAAAGAGAACCGAATCGAACCAAAATTTTCGGGTATCTAGTAAATGAAACCGTCAGGTCCAAATATAATTATGGAACCGTTCGGGTTCGATTTCGTTCGATTCAGTTCCATTCCGTTCGATTCTATACTATAATTAAATTTTTTAACATTTATAACAACATTATATAAATACAACTAATGATACATTCAATGGTTTTGGAATGTCAGAAACTAGTAGACTACCTTATTCAAATGATCGCTACGATCAAAGTTTAGGTTGGTGGAGGTCACAGCGTCAGCCGACGATTGTATAGGTTTTGGAATGTTGGCGAGGCTGTGAGAGTGAGTGCGAAAGTCTGGACAACGTTATGCACTTTAGTGTAGGTGTTTATGGTTATCTAGTGGAAGAAATGAAACAATAAAATGGGTTATTGGGTCAAAAATTAAAAAATTAGAAATGAAACAAATTATTGGGCCAAAAACTTGGATTTAGAAATTGTTAATTTGTTAAGTTGTTTAGAAAAACTTAAAATTAAAATAATTTGATTTATTCAATATAAAAAAAATTAGAAAGATTCGGTTCTTATTCGATTTTTCGGTTTTTGATCTAGACCGAGAACCAAACCGTACCCGTCGGTTCTCAATTCAAATACCCGTTCGGGTATTTAATTTAACAAGAACCGTCGGGTTTGGTTCAACTCGGTTCGGGAGATTTGCCCAACCCTAAATCCATTGATCCACACAATTGTCCATGTACTAGTAGAAGATTCAACAACTATTGTAGTTCTTGCTTCTTCAGGCGAAGCTCTAGCTTGAGGAGCTGCCAAGGTAGTAGTATCTTTGGTGTTTGTACTCATTGTTGGAAAGATTTTCTAATAAATGTCGTTTTGACATTGTAGGTCGAATTTTGAGTCATGATTTATAGTTAGAACAAAGATATAAAAGGGATGGAGCGAAAGAATGGATTTTAGAAGTGATTGGAGGCCACAGATGGCAGCAATTTAGGACTGGGCATAACTCAATCCAAATTGCTCAACCCGACCAATCCAAAGCATGTGTACAGGTTTTTACGCATTTTCTTGGCTCCCTTTTACCTAAAGTCAATTATTTAGTGTTATGTTGACTTAAATTCAAGATCAAAATTATTTGTTAAATAAGTGTATCAAATTTATGAGTAGGAAGAACGGTGATATTAATTCAAATACGAATAGTTGTGACTCAAATGAAGAGATTTAACCTTGGAAAACGGTTATAATATTATTCTATAAATTGGATTGATGGATTCATTTGAAAGTACATGCAATTTCTTCTTCCATTTTCTACCTATTACTTTTCAAGTTATTTCCTTTTTCTTTCAAATTTGATTTTTCTTTCTCCCCTTTAAATGTAACCACATGAATAGTGATCACTTAGCTTGACTATGGAAAGAGACTTGTTAATTTGATTCTAATTTGCTTATAATTCTGAGAATAACCAGCAAAGCATATACTTATCATATATCCTTTGATTTTTAAACTAAAGAGAATCTAATGGGAAAATTGTCTGACATGTCATGTGCAAGATCAATTTTGGAAGATAAGGTTGTTGTTTTTCTACCAATTGTGATACATCTTGAATTACTTTATCTAAAAGCTTAAAAATAAATAACTAAGGGCTTGCTTGGTAGTGATAACTGATTTTTTGATCGTTAAAGAGAAAAGTGGATCTTACCTACAAGAGAAGAAGTAAAATATGACCGTTGGAATAATGAAATAACGATTACAAAATTGATTTTTTGGGGAGAAAAATCAATACCTAAGTGTTTGTTTGATAAGACTTTAACAAAAAATTTATTCAACTAATCAAATTTAGTTTTAATAACACAATTCATATATGAGATTCATAATTCGTTAATTTTTATTAAAAATTATTAAATAATCCCTATATGAAATAAACGACCGTGCGATATGTTGGGAAACAGTGATTATTTTATGCTGATGGTGATGTTTGAGAAACTTTTTTTTTTTTTTTTTGTCTTTTTTTCATTTTGAATTATAAATAAAATACAATTTTTTTTAACAATATATCATGTGCCTATTTAACATCGGATCAGATGGATTTTGTTTACAAAGATCTCTTACGCTGCATTAATGAAAAGTTGGAGATTATGATGCTAAGGTTTGGAAGTTAGAAATATATTTGCACTTTTCTTAAAGCCAAGGGACCTCTGTTGCAATTTTCTTTTAGCGTTACCAACGGAGTGAAAAGTAAATGAACATGAAAATATTCAGGGACTTCAGTAGCTTGGTGAAATTGAGCAGTGAAGCACCTCTTACCTACGGAATCAAACGTGCCCGGTGCTCCTAGACGATCAAAGTGGAAGTTTACAGATTTGATGTATGTAAAATGGGTCTGAAAATCGGAGGCGAAGTGGAAAAGGTGGACGGGAAACTACTGAGTTACACCGATTTTGTTGAAAAATACCTGGTTAAAAACCAGCCCGTAATCCTCACCGGGCTTATGGACCATTGGCGGGCCTGCAAAGACTGGGTTTTGGACAACGGAGACCCAAATTTTCGTTTCCTCTCCACATACTTTGGTAATTCCAGAGTTCAGGTAATCATACCCTACGACATTGTTTTGTGGGGTTCAGTATGGAAGCTCTTTCTATCTTTATTTTTTTTGTTTTTTTCTGGAAAAATTTGATGCTATGGAATATGAATTTATATGTAGGTTGCGGATTGTGGAATGAGGGAATTTACGGACCAGAAAAGGATGGAAATGTCGGTTTCGGAGTTCATTGATCAATGGACTCAGCTTTCTGCTGCTAGGAAGGATAGTGGGTCTGATGGCAATTCACTATTGTATTTGAAGGATTGGCATTTTGTTAAGGTGTGCTGTGAAACTTTCTTTCTTTCTTCTTCTTCTTCTTCTTGTTCTTTTTTTTTAATGATTTTCTATCTATATGCTAGTGTGGAATCATCCTTTGATTTTTAAACTAAAGAGAATCTAATGGGAAAATTGTCTGACATGTCATGTGCAAGAGCAATTTTGGAAGATAAGGTTGTTGTTTTTCTACCAATTGTGATACATCTTGAATTACTTTATCTAAAAGCTTAAAAATAAATAATTAAGGGCTTGTTTGATAGTGATAACTGATTTTTTGTTCGTTAGAGAGAAAAGTGGATTTTACCTGTAAGAGAAGAAGTAAAATATAACCGTTGGAATAATGAAATAACGATTACAAAATTGATTTTTTGGGGAGAAAAATCAATACCAAAGTGTTTGTTTGATAAGACTTTAACAAAAAATTTATTCAACTAATCAATTTTAGTTTTAATAACACAATTCATATATGAGATTCATAATTCATTAATTTTTATTAAAAATTATTAAATAATCCCTATATGAAATAAACGACCGTGCGATATGTTGGGAAACAGTGATTATTTTATGCTGATGGTGATGTTTGAGAAACTTTTTTTTTTTTTTTGTCTTTTTTTCATTTTGAATTATAAATAAAATACAATTTTTTTTTAACAATATATCATGTGCCTATTTAACATCGGATCAGATGGATTTTGTTTACAAAGATTTCTTACGCTGCATTAATGAAAAGTTGGAGATTATGATGCTAAGGTTTGGAAGTTAGAAATATATTTGCACTTTTCTTAAAGCCTAGGGACCTCTGTTGCAATTTTCTTTTAGCGTTACCAACGGAGTGAAAGGTAAATGAACATGAAAATATTCAGGGACTTCAGTAGCTTGGTGAAATTGAGCAGTGAAGCACCTCTTACCTACGGAATCAAACGTGCCCGGTGCTCCTAGACGATCAAAGTGGAAGTTTACAGATTTGATGAATGTAAAATGGGTCTGAAAATCGGAGGCGAAGTGGAAAAGGTGGACGGGAAACTACTGAGTTACACCGATTTTGTTGAAAAATACCTGGTTAAAAACCAGCCCGTAATCCTCACCGGGCTTATGGACCATTGGCGGGCCTGCAAAGACTGGGTTTTGGACAACGGAGACCCAAATTTTCGTTTCCTCTCCACATACTTTGGTAATTCCAGAGTTCAGGTAATCATACCCTACGACATTGTTTTGTGGGGTTCAGTATGGAAGCTCTTTCTATCTTTATTTTTTTTGTTTTTTTCTGGAAAAATTTGATGCTATGGAATATGAATTTATATGTAGGTTGCGGATTGTGGAATGAGGGAATTTACGGACCAGAAAAGGATGGAAATGTCGGTTTCGGAGTTCATTGATCAATGGACTCAGCTTTCTGCTGCTAGGAAGGATAGTGGGTCTGATGGCAATTCACTATTGTATTTGAAGGATTGGCATTTTGTTAAGGTGTGCTGTGAAACTTTCTTTCTTTCTTCTTCTTCTTCTTCTTGTTCTTTTTTTTTTTAATGATTTTCTATCTATATGCTAGTGTGGAATCAGACATTCTGCAATTTTTGTTAAGGTTGATTACGCTGTTTTTGATTTTGAGGAAAGAAGAAATGCAATGGAATACTACTACCTGGATTTCTTTGCTGGGTTACACAGTCTTCTGTTTATGTTCTATGTAACTTTTGAATGCACAGATAATTTGGCAACCATATTTCTTTTTAATGGTATTTGAAATTTTATGCTCCTGCTATGTATGCCTTCACAGTGGATGAAATCTTTCCTTGAAACACCAGTATAAGAACTAAAACTAAAAACCGAGAAACACAAGCTATTTTTCTCTCTTATACTTTTTTCCAGTTTCCATGTCCTTGACTTTAAAGGTTAGACATACCCAATTCTGGAGTCTGACTTAAACTAGTGTTGTGACATGAGAGTGAGCTCAGTCTGCTGATGATCTTGACCTGTTTGAATTATTCAACATTTGCAGGAGTATCCAGATTATGTTGCCTACAGCACTCCAAAGTTTTTCTGTGACGATTGGTTGAATCTGTATCTTGACAAGTACACAATGCATAATGATCCTGACACTTGCCAAAACAGAAATGAAATTATCTGCTCTGACTATCGTTTTGTGTACATGGGAGCAAAAGGTTTGAGCGTAGATGCAATGAAACATTTTTTGTAAGATGATGATATCATAGTGGATGATTCTTCTTACAAACTGGACGAAGTTGATTCGTATAACTGATCTACGTGAAAATAACTTGATGCTTTTGATTTCACTTGCAGGTACATGGACACCACTTCATGCTGATGTTTTCAGGTCATACAGTTGGTCAGCTAATGTGTGTGGCAGGAAACAATGGTATTTTCTACCTCCAAGTCAGCGTCACCTTGTGTTTGACAGGTATAGTTAAGTTTTTCTGCGATTGCATGAGTTGCTGAGCTGATAATAGTTGGTGTTTTCGGCTGAAATGGAAGAGAAGGAAATGAAAGGTTTAAATAAAATGGGAAGGAAATGGATTTGAAATAGCTGAAGAAACATAGTAAGCTTGTGCCCTTTAATTGTTGAAAACCATATATCCTTTTCTCCTTTCTTTTTTTGATAAGTCACCTTCTTCTTTCTTTACCATCTCTTATATTTATCCAAAGACATGCATGATCAATCCTCCTACTTGTTTCCTTTGCGTCTCCCCATTTCTTTACTTGAAACTGTCTTAGAGGTGAATGAAATTGTTTATTGCTGAACGGAGCAATTATGGGGCCCAACTTAACTTTTTCATTTAATTTTTCTCTGGGCTGTCATACTACTTTGGGAGAAAAATTAACGTAGCTGAAAATCCTCTAAACCTTTTCTGGTGTAAACTGTAAAGGACAGTGACGTGGTAAGGGATAAATGTACCGTATCCATTTCTAAAATGACAAATGGTTGTACAATTTGTCATTTTGAGCATGAATATCCAGGAAATCATCATAATCTATAGCGGCTCTGGAAATTCGTTATAGTTAGTTAAACCAAATGAAATGGTCCAGTAATCAGAGTTTGCTATGGAGTGCTCCCCATCATAATAACCAGGAAACTCAACTACTTATATGTCGAAATTTTGCTAGACTAATATAGTGCACTCCCATGATTCCATAGGTAGTAGAGGATGAATACCCATATCGATTTACTTCCTTCCCTTCTACTTGGTACATAAAACAGAAGTCAATAGAATCTCACCTTGGTTTAAATAAATATTTTTGTAGTATTAAAAAATGGGTATCGTGGCAGTGTGAATTGCATCTCTCATTTTGGAAATGCAAGAATATTCCTATGCAGTTTTAGGAATGTTGTTAGTTGCTGCATCTTTCTTAGTCGGTGTTGTTTTCATGGTTAAAATAAGATTTATGCTTTTAAATTTTATTCAGGCATATGAAGTCTTCTGTGTACAATAACTTTGAGGAAGTCTGCAAATTGAATTTCACTGATTTTGAGGAAGATTGTTCCCTATAATTGTTGAAAACAATATATCGCCTTCTCCTTTCTTTACCATCTCTTATATTTATCCAATGACATGCATGATCAATCCCCCTACTTGTTTCCTTTGCATCTCCCCATTTCTTTACGTGAAACTCTGTCGTAGAGGTAAATGAAATTGTTTGTTCCTGAAGGGAGCAATTATGGGGCATAACATAACTTTGTCATTTAATTTTTCTCTGGGCTGTCATACTACTTTGGGAGGAAATTAAACATAGCTGAAAATCCTCTAATACCTTTTTCTGGTTTAAACCATAAAGGACAGTGACGTGGTAAGGGATACACGTACTGTATCCATTTCTAAAATGACAAATGGTTGTACAACTTGTCATTTTGGGCATGAATGTCCAGGAAATCATCATAAACTATAAGTGGCTCTGGAAATTCTTATCATTAGTTAAACCAAATGAAATGGTCCAGAAATCAGAGTTAGATATGGAGTTCTCCCCATCATAACAACCAGGAAACTCAACAATGTATATGTCGAAATTGTGCTAGACTAATAAAGTGCACTCCCATGACTCCATAGGTGTAGTAGAGGATTAATACCCGTATCAATTTACTTCCTACCCTTCTAGTTGGTACATAAACAGAAGTCAATAGAATCTCACCTTGGTTTAAATAAATATTTTTGTAGTATTAAAAAATGGGTATCGTGGCAGTGTGAATTGCATCTCTCATTTTGGAAATGCAAGAATATTCCTGTGCAGTTTTAGGAATGTTGTTAGTTGCTGCATCTTTCTTAGTTGGTGTTGTTTTCATGGTTAAAATAAGACTTATGCTTTTAAATGTTATTCAGGCATATGAAGTCTTCTGTGTACAATATCTTTGAGGAAGGCTGCAAGTCGAATTTCACCGGTTTTGAGGAGGTACTTGCGAGTTGAGGAATATTCACTTATCCGCTCTTAGTTTTTATTTTATCCAATGGAGAATGTCATATGTCGAGTTACTTTCTTTCTACCAATCCAGGCTATATGGTGGGAATGCACTCAGGAGAAAAACGAAATAATCTTTGTCCCCAGTGGGTGGTACCATCAAGTTCATAATCTGGTATCCTTGATAAAACTTTTAATTTCTTTCTTTATAAATCTGAAAAGATTCTTAGTACAATCATTATCCTCTAACTCAAAAGAAACTTATGTTTATTGAAATTTTTGTAAATGATTGCTGAGGAACCAAGACCCCATATATCACAAACTGTGGAAAATTTCCTTTATGTACAAGTTAAAATAGCTAGAAGGCTTTTTGCTGCGAAGTTGTACATATGCCTATCATGATTTAAGTTACAAGCTTGCATCCGAACCATCTTGGATTTGCACAAAATGAGATTGAAGCAAAACAGACAGCATAGCATAATGAGGAATATAATTTTTCAGCTCTTTGTTTCATTAAGTCCCATGCACTTGCATAGTGTCTTCATAGTATATTTTAAGAATACATATAAACTCTCTCTATCGAAAAATAAAACATAGTCTTCTCAATGTAGAATATAATAATTATTATTAGGAATACAGAGAAAACTACGGGATTCATAAATGGGTATGTGTATGGTTTAGATGTCTCATGCCAAGAGTCAACAGATATCATGCAAATATATGAGGGAGTGGAAGACATGCTGCTGATGGTTGATGGCATTCTTTTCTAGACCCTAAGTTCGGATGTTTTCTTGGTTTTTTAGGGCCTATATGTGACATCAAAGTATGACGTGGCAGACAGTCGGACACCATTGATCCATAATCATCCTTAGAGCTAGTCATATGAACATGCACATTTCCACCCGCCATGGTGTTATTGACACATGGGGTCGGATTGATATTGAGGATGCATTTCATTCCTTCAATAATTCATAAAATGCTAAAATATATCTGCAAATTTTTACTTAAAGTTAGAATCGACTTACTTTCTGATGCAAGAACATGAGATGTCTCCTCGGTCTTCATTTACATTCTGTCCCTGAGACACAACTAGAGTAAGGTGTTCATAGCATTCACATCTTTGCACAAGCTTGTGGTACTGGCTCTACTGAGTGTTGCTGAACGAGTATCCTTTAACTACTAAGCTGCAAACATTTGTACAAAATCAGATTTTAGCTATGTGGTCTATATCTGTACCTAGGAGTTTTCTGTGTTTGTTCATTATGATATCTGTTTAAGATGAGATCTTATTTGTACTTACTAGCATTGCAAATATTAACTAAGATATATCTATGGATAATTGCTATGACTAACTATTATGCATTGCATTCACGTAGCCTACGACTTTTTACAGTTGGAGAAGGCTGAGTTGACTTGGACCTGATGAGTTATGATTCATCATTAGGTTGATAAAATCATTAAATGTTGACTAGAAGAAAGGAAAAAAAAATGTAGTTGACATCTCATTCGTCTAAAAAATCATATACTTGAGTAGAAGATGTGACTGTTTTGAGTTTTTATGCAAATCATGCATCAAGTATTTAACTTTACATATAAATTTTTGTATTGAACACTTCATATACCTGGATATTAGATGCTAATTTTGTGAATGGATCATAATTTTCAGGAAGATACAGTATCAATTAATCACAACTGGTTCAATGGCCACAATATTTCTTGGGTGGTAAGTAAAGCGAATCCAAATACTAGGCTGGAGACTAGTCCTATAATAATCAAGGATTAAAGCCATTAAGTTACATCCTTATTTCGTTTCATCAGTGGGATTTGCTTTTGAGAGAGTATCATGAGGCGAGGGAGTATATTGAAGACATCAAGGACATAAGTGATAATTTTGAGGGGCTTTGCCAACGAAATCTTGCAGCTAATGCAGGTACACCATATTCCTTACTGGTCGGTAATATTTTTCTGTAGTACTAGAAAACACATCGTTCTGAAGGTTGCTTTGCCTCAGCCCATAAAAAAATGTTACCAGATACCTAGTTTTTAATTTCCACGATTTTTTTTTATATCATCTGTCAGTATGATGCAGATTGACCAGTAGTATTCATGCCATTTTCACACAATAACCATATGATGCAGTAGGTGATTAGGTCCTTTTTATATAAAGTTTGTCTAATTTAAGTCCAAACATATAAAATGGTACACACTCCATACATCTACAAAGAAGAAATTGTTTGTTATGTCTCTGTTATAAAGGTGACCTGGGTTCTGAAAAGGGAACACAAACTGCCTGCTAGACCTGTAATGTCATCATACATGACATTTATTATACACCATTGGAATTCGTGGTAATGATTGATCCTGGAATTCACTGATGTAGGCCAAGTAATATTGGGTTTAGTAATATTCGTGGTAATGATTGTTGGGATTATTGGATCGTAAATTTATCCAGCCTTCCAAAAAGTATCTTAAACCCAAAGTTTTTATAGTTATTTCGGATTGTTGTGCATAGGATCTAAGTCTAAACCTATCGATCAAAATGGCAGATTTTAGCCAACGCGAAATTGTCAGAACTAGTCACACATGGATATTTGAAGCTGCTGTTGGAGTGATCTTGATCTTTTGGCAGATGATAGTGCACTGCCTTTGTTTTTTTTGGTTCCTTTCATCCTTTTTCTTTGGTTATTCATGCCTTTCTGGGAGTGAGGACCTATGTGTGAATTAGAAGGTCTAGTTAGCGGAGTTGCTGCAACACTCATATTTATATGTATCAGATGCTTTATAGATAGGGCATATCTTATGTGAATGATAAGCATAAAAGATGGAAAATATTTGAACTTAATGATTCTTTAAGGAATGTTGCAGGAAGAGAACTGCTTCCACATTATAGTGAAGTTGTGATGCTTGGAGTGAGTGGCACAACAATTCTTTTGGCGTTCAGATGACATGCAGCCCAGTATATATGTTGTTCCAAGAAGACATTTTAGGGCATTAGACACTCATTTTGTTTGGACAAGCTAGGACATTGATTTGGTGGATGATTGTACACAGATGTTTCACAATGGAACCACTGACCTTAAACCGCAGTGGAATTAGTTGAATACATCTATACAAGTCGATGCAATTCAATCTGTCAGACCTCAATTCAATGAAATCTTGGTTTTCCTTTAATCAAGATCAGAGAGACTGCAATAAACTAGTTCTCTCGCTTAAACTGATCTGAGCGGATAGCATTTCTATTTAAAGTATATTTGACGCTTCCTAATATGAGATAATATCAGCTTTTGCTGTGATTGCTTTAATTATAATTAGTAATTCATTGCTCATCCTCTTTTTATTCTTGACTGTTTGTCTTTTGCAGGAATGAATTTCTACGACTTTTTCGTTTTCATGGTACGCTTTTCCTTTGCCAACTTGGTCCTTCTCTGCAATCTTACAAATACGAAAAAATTGAGCTGGAGTTCATCTGAAGTTGTTCCGCTAGTGATTTTCAACCTTAAATCTACACAATGTATTGCTTTGGAGATGGAATCCACTGGCCAATGGAAAAACTCTGGTGTCACCATTGATCTCAGGGAAACCATGGAGGATCAAACATTTATGGAATTCTGCAATCTTATGGCAAGAACATATGGCGCTATATATGAGCAGTCTGAAAAGAAATCTGACACAGACAAAGCTGTATTGGAAGATATGGAATTAAGTTTCTTTGATTTTTCTGGTTCTCGTATCTGTACACCTGAAGATCTAGTTACATTTATAGACTGTGCTCTCAAACTCAGTTGAACTAAAACTGGATGGACGCAGAATCAGTACTCTTTTACAAGGATTAATGAAGTTGCTTTTTAGGGAGAGGGATAGGATTCTTTAAGTTGTTTTCAGGTGCGTCACAACTGATATTCACCTATATGGAGATATGTTGCTCCAACAGAAAGAACTTATTCAGGCTGCATTTTAATGAATGCTTGGATTCTTGACTCTTGAACGTGAATTAAGGCATAGGTTATGTTCTTGCAATTCTGAAGAATGCCCGGTATAGTAGGCTCTCGACAAGATTAAGGAATCAGGTATGTTCCTGCAATCTCATGTAAGAAAGCTGAGTTATGAATTCCGGGTTGATCCACTCCTGCATCCTTTTGGTCGTCATTTCTTAAAACCTCCAATATATGCAATAGCTTGTTCAGTAAGGTCTATTGTACAATATTGGATAGCATAAAGATACCAGAAACGACCCTATCTAATATTGCATACTAAACAAGCTCTTAATGCTTTACTATTTGCATTTTTGAGGTGAATGTTACGTACTCGTGTCCCTTTTTGATTAGTTCATTATTCTTTGAAATTCATTTCCTTCAAATGAATTGATCAAGAAGTTGGTCAACTTTCAAATGTTATCAAACTTTTCATCGTCAAGTGTTCGTGAACAAGAAATCACGAGTTTCGCTTCCCCAAAAGCATTAAAGGGGACATTAATTGTGAAATTTCATGATGTTAAGGCTACAATTAAACCCGTGATTGATTCTCGTTCCTTCTTGACTTTTTTTTTTGTTTTTATAGGATTATTTTCAACTACACATTCAAAAAATAAAATATTTTAAACGTAAATTCAAAATTTTTTTACTATTTTTTAATCACACATTCTTCTAAAACACTATTCAAGACACCTTAAATAAAAAAAAATAAAAAAAATGCCCACTAAACATGGGCTTATCTTTTGGTTGGAACCTAAGTATGAGCTGTTCCTTAATGCATGGGCTAACTAATTGTATTTGGGATTATACGGTTAAGAAATTACATAAAATGATATGGAGGGAGAATATTAAATGAAAAAGTCGAATGCGTTTTAAATTGACAAATAATAGAATGATACGTTGTCTTATATAATTTATTATGTAAAATTTGTTGTACATGTATCAAGACTTTTTATTTGGTACTTTGTTTGACCATCTGAGAGCACATTTTCCAAAGCTAAATTTCAAAAAACAAAGCTGTTATCAGTCAGCAGATTATTTATTTCCTCGAAGTAGTAGCTGGAGCAGATTTGAAATTGGTTCTTGGATTGACTTGGATAATTTTTCTGATTTATCAAAAGAGAAAAAGAAAATGTTCATAGGTGTGTTTTCAACTAAAATTTGTATGAATTTTAAAAGATTATAAGTTCTAATGAATTTTGTGGGTTTGAATAGATTCTTACAAATTTCATAAAAATCTCATCAAATATAGTGAAATTTTAAAATATTAGATTATATGTATTTTAAGCTAGAAATCTATTCAAATATTCTAAAATCGTTCTATTAATGATTTTTTTATGAATTCACTAATTATTGAAAATACCTAAATTTTAATGAATTTCAATAAAATCTCAATTGAAGACACTTAAATCTAGAATGATTTTTAAAATTCATCACAATCTAAATTGAGAACGCCTCTCCTAAGTCATAAGTAGATATACATATACATTATTTAAACATGTGCTCACAAGGGTGGTAAACCATTCAAGTCGAATTTTGTATGTTGTACTATATCAGTCTAGACACTAGTAAAAATGAGAATTGTGCAAATAGAAAACTTCTGGTGAAATGTTAGATCACTTATAACATTTACCTCGATGGTACTAATATGGATTAGACAACTTGTATTGTACTATTTTATGATTGTCATTAGTGCATGTTCAGTGCGCAATATCATAATGAAATAGTATGATAAGCGAGATTTTTACTATTTTTTTGAGTGTAATTCAATCCAAAATATTAAATAGTAATTGGAGTATTCGAGTACTCCTTTTCGACAATATTTTTTGAGTATTATGTATTAAGCGTCCGTTTGTTCTACATTTTTCCAACAAAAATGCATTTTACATATCACATCATGGGTCTTTCCTTAGAGTGTTGAAGTCAAATATTGTAGGCTGATTCGATAGAAAAAATGTATTATTTTCCCAAATAATGTGTACCAAACAGGGGCTAAATATGGGTTGAACCCCAACTTTGAGGGCCCCGACCTCCCCGCCCCTAGAACTTTATGAGGGAGGTAAATTGCAAGATGTGTCCCAACATGTCAGGGAACAAGAGCAGCCTGTACAAAGGGGGCTAAATATGTTGTGCATGGGACGTGATCGAACCGCAAAGACTTTTCGCAAATCTTCATTATAGAAAATGGAGCTGCAGATTCGCGAGGCTTAGCAAGTGAGAAAAATAAATGATTCTAAAAACCAGTGTCTAAAATTGACTATTATTTAATTCTAAGTGTTGATAAAATCCATGTTCTTGGTCAGACAAGTTTTGCATCTTTCAATTAATGAATCGTTAATAATTTTGTTAATCATAAACAAACAAATCTGCATTGGTGGCCTAACTGAGATACACTGTTTTTATTTGCCCGTCTGTCTGAAAGCTTCTTGTAGTAATTGATGTCGCAATATTTTAATGTTAAACAAGTTTTGAATTAATCTTGGAATTAACTTGTTTGTCACAAACAATAATTTTGAATTGGTGAAATTTTGGCAATTTAAGTGGTCGTTGACCATATATGCACGTTTTTAAATAATGCTATATAGCGTCACTTTACCAATCTAAGCGTTAGTAAGATCTACAGTTCCATGGTCCTATGAAATTGTGATATATCCATTCATACAATGAAGCAGTGTACCCTGCTACCTCCGATACTAATGCTTAGCACCAACAATGTTACATAGCATTACTCCTGTGGTTTGACATGCAAGTGATACAATTATATTTTATTTTCAATAAATTTAAAGTCGATTATGTTAATATTTTTATCGCTTCATTGTTTGAAAAAGGAAAGGAAGAGGGTGAAAATGAGTGAACGTGAGAAGCAATGATAAAGAATAATTGACGTGCTGTGATTAAGAATGAAATTCCACTTGTCTACATATTGGCATTGACCTTATCACACTAATTTCTCAATATCAATCATTTCATGTTTAGAATCTCAAATACGTTTTCAAAAAGAACTTTTAAGCCATCACTATATTAGATTCATTACTATGTCTACTGAAGCTCCAATGGAATAAGATCAATAAGGGAAGTGTTATATGTACATAATTGTCTACATAATGGTATTCATAATTACACGTGGCATTGGATCCAACCTTTAATTCAAATCTCACATATTGGTATTGCCACATCACATTATGAACACCATTATGTACAATTATTATGTACAAGTAGAAGTTTCCTAATAATAATAAGAAGATGATGATGATGACGATGGAGAAAATACAAACCCTGTTATATTACCAGTTTCTCAACTCAAAAATTTACATCAAATCTGGAAGGTCTAAGAAGCAATGGATCTATTGGGAGGAAACTACAAAGATGGCCAAACTCCCTTCAAAGGAGTACAAAGAATTTAGGAGGAATCATAATTAGGTTGTTTTCTACATTTTTCTGTCAAATTTTCTTCATCTTTTTATGGACACCTTGAGTTCCTTCCAGGACCTCCATAATAAATATAATTTCCCCATACATTATTTTTTCCAGCTTTTATATTATAACAATTTGGATGATCAGCTAATAAATGAAGATTATTGAGTGGAATCAAACTATTATCCCAATCAACAACTTTCAAATTTCTGAAATAAGAAGCTTTGCCAAATCCTTCATCTGCAAAATGGCCACTGCCCATTTGTGTTGAAGTGTGATATCCCGTGGATTTAGTGTTCACTATTTCTCCTCCAAATTGTATCATGCTTGCATGGCTTTGTAAATGGCTGAACAGGAATGAGGGCCAGTATCCCACAAGAAGTCCTGAACCAAATTCGAGCCACCAGTGTCCATGCTTGGGGTCCTGTAAAAAACACAGTTGATGAATGAGCCTAAGTTATGTTAAATGTTAGAGAGGGGGTTCATTTTAAAAAGTTAATTTCGGTCTCATACTGAAAATGAATGAGATAAGAAGTGAGAATAGATGTCAACGATGAATTAAGGAAACGATGGACTTGGATGGTGTAGGGCCTTAATGAGATATAATATACAACACAAGCAGTCTTGCTTTTTCGGCCAGAGAAATGCATTATCGGAACTGGGTTGGAATGATAAGCAACTTCAGATACAAGGTTCTTGCTATAGCCTTATGTGAGGGAAACAAAATATATGCATGCTGACACTTAAAATATCATTTTCTTGGGTACTGTAAGTGTATCTCGCGTAGAGTCGTTCAAATGAGTGAAACAATCTCAATAGAACAAGTTAGAACATGGTTTGGGGGGTGGGGGGGTGTTGGACCAAAACATACATGGTCTGTTGTGGTTGTTAATGATCTAGATGTTTTGGATATTCGGGTAAACGTGACGATGATCTGCGAGGGGGCAAAAAGATTGATGTAAACGATCTCAAATTTGTTGGAAGGATTAGTTTGTTATTTGTTATACCGTGAGAAATCCGGTTGTTTTTGTATATACGAGTAGTGCCATAGCTCAAGGAAATTACTCGAGTCGAGATGGAATCAAGAAATGGCAATGCAAAGTTGGAGCCAAGAGCTTGTCAAGGTCAATTAGTAGCCAATATTTAATCAGTAAAGAGAGAGTACTGGACACACATTACATGCCCTTAGACAAAAAGTAGAATCTTACAATTTTATATTAGAAAACAGTGGTCAATGTACTAAAATGTCACTTTGTATACATCAATTTTGTCCTTGTCGATTAAAGAATTAGTTTAACCAATGGAGAAATCTAAGCAAGCTGAATCTGAAAGTCGACATTTTTGGAGGATGCAAACCATGAAACCTAATTGTAAGTAGCTGGAAACCTGGTTTTTGATTATGTCAAATGTTGTTTGGATTGGTTAGTACAGTATACCTAAAACTACCTAAGACGTACCTTCCAGATCATTATGCCAATATCGAATTGTCTACCGTGGTAGGATGACCTTGGCGAGATTGCTGCTCCGATAGCAATTTTGTTGTTGATTTGGACAAAGCCAGAGCATAACAAGTTGTAGCATCCTGTTGCTTGGTATGCATCCGTCTGTTTTAGTGACGTATCAGTACTTCGATTTCTAACCTTGTATATCGTATAAAGACCTCTGTGCACTTGTTCGTTGTGTGTGGAAAAACACGAAAATAACTTCATGACACTCACCGTCCAATAAGTGAAGAACCTAGGATAATTGTCTCCATATAACTCCGGGCTGACCTGAAGATTGAAATCAAAAGTTTCGTATCGATACTTGTCAATGGTGAATAAACGAAAAAAGGGATTTTGAGATGTAAATACTTTACTTGGAAGGAAACTACTACTTCTCTGTGTAGTAAATTAGCAGAGTACTTATAAATTGTACCTGCCAACCGGCTTCAATGGTATTAAGATCATTGCCAAATGTGCCGGAAATGACCCAAAGCTGGGACAAACTGAACTCGTATTGGTCTGTTACTCGAGGTGTCCACACATTTATGCTGGCCTTAGCTCCATAATAACGATCCCCATTAACGAAAGCAACTGCGTGCTGAACTCCCAAAGATAGAGTATTCATTTATATAGACTTTATAAAAAAAATCTATCATTTAATTGCTTGAGAATTTCATCTTGTCGTGTCATATAATCATAATCTTGTAGAAAGAAGCTTATTCACATTGCTACATTCTGTTTTCGTCTTGCACAGAACAAGAAAATAAGCCGTATACTCAATAAATTTAGGGTCGGCTAGACTATCTCCCAAGAATATGGCTTTTGTAGAACACAATTCCTTTTCTTGCTTATCTTTTGTTTCTGTGAACTATTTCATTTGATTTTGAGGACAACCATAATAAATTAAACTATCCTTTCGGACGAGACAGGTTGAAAACTGCGCTACTAAATACGATAAAGCAACCCTAAATCAGTAACACACGAAAAGCTCGATCCTGAACTTTGGAAAATTCAAAGCAAAGATTCGATTCTTCCTCGTTCCCCTACCCACTAATGGTCGATTAGTAGGTAGAGTGGTAAACTTAGAGGGTGCGCCGCCAATGTACGATTGGACAGTTTGAATCCTAATAATTGGTACATCAATTAGATGCCTACATTTTCACTGATCTTGAATTTAGCATACTAACCTCATGATCACTGCTCATGGTGTCTCGCCGGACTCCTCTTCTGATTCTTCGTCCAAATCTGCGAATTGAACTAGCCCTTAAAACATCTTTCTCTGTCGTCCTCCTGATCGGAACAGTTCCTTCTGGACAAAATCCGCCGGAATATTCTGCCCATAGCTGAAATTCCGTTGAATTTATTGAATCATGCGCCTTAGGTCTCTCTGGTGGCTCCTACATTTGCATGAACAAATTCTTCTTACAATAAAAACCAGATAGTCTCGAAGAAATACAGTACACAACAATTTTTTCAATGTACCAATGGCTTCTGGCCTTTGAGCTTGGGATGATCAAAAGCTGGTTGAAGATGAGATCGAACACAATCAATTAAATCACCATCTGGGCTCTGTAAAAATAAAAATTAAAAAAAAAATCCCATCAAACTTCGTACTCATCAACACATTAAGAACCAGAAAAACAGATGAAAATGTACCTGAATTGTTTTAACTGCAGGCTTGTTAATTTTCTTGAGGTAATTTCTTATTCTCTTCAACTTGTTTAGCTCATGGCGTGGCCTGAGAGTCTGATTGCGGTTACTGGCATCAGACAAGAGAGGATTGGACAAGACAGGAGTACACAGGAAAGCAACAAAAATGAAAAGGATAGGGATTGTACTGTAAGATTTGAAAGAAGAAGAAGAAGAAGCCATTTTTGTTGTTTTTTCTTGATTCAACATGGTTGTGTTTGTATGTATTTGTGTTGTCTTGTTGTAATACAATCCAATGCTTCATTCGAAAATTTTGTCTATGGAAACACAAAATCTATACAAAATAACACAACCATTCAAAGGAAAAGTTAAAGGAGTTCAGAGTTTCACCGTTTTCAAAACGTTTTTATTGACCCCAATTGACAGCTGAAAAATAACCACTTTATTTTCTCTCTCTGCATTGCAGATTCTGACAGAAGGTGACTTGAGGCTGGACTGATTAAAATAGGATCTTAATAAAGTTAAAGCTTTTTTAAAGGTTGAACCCAACTTTGAGAGTTCTCACCGTTTCGTCTCTAGAGTTTTGTAAGGGAGGTAAATCGTGGGATATGCCCCAGCATGCCAGGGAACAAGAGCTGCCTGTACACTGCGCTTACAAGGAATCTAATTACATATCTCAGAAATCGAACCTCCACACTGCGACTGCCAGTAAGGTGCGAGATAACCTTACTCCTATCATTTGCATCACTGGACTATATCCAGGAGGCAAGTTAAAGTTTTTTTACCCATAACAGTTGTGGTCATGGGCTTTATTGTTTTAAGGTAGCATTCAAACTGGCAGAAGGGTACTGGAATTTGCACAAAATTCATTTATGGCATGTTGGGGAAGAGAACGATCAAGAAAAAGAAAGTTAAAATTTTATTTATAGCCCGTTTGAATCGGTTTGATAGTAAAGGTGAAAAGGACAAATCAATTCCATGAAAGTTGGGAAAAAAATAACAAAATCATAAAAATTCGATTCCTATGGAATTGGCCAAAAACATACTTTGAGTGTTTGAACCTTGGAATTCGAACTCTATTTTCATTTTCGTATCACACAACCAAGATAGAAAATAAATTTCTTGGATGTGATATTTTCCATAAAATACGACGTTATCAAATGAACCCTTATTGTATCTCTAAGTAAATATTCATATAATAGAGTTTCTACTTTTAATTCTGTTTCTTATAAAAGAATTTCCTAAGAATGTTATTTTTGAGCAAGATTCTCTAAAAACTCTTATAGCTCGATAAAGTAATTTTAAGAAATTATCTAATTATTTTTAAGAGCGTAATCTCAAGAAAATCTTTTGATTTTTCAAAAAAAAGGGGGGGGGGGGGTCAAACAAGCCCTAAATCTGCAGAGAACGAGATGAAAAAATTTTGTTTCATTATGTCACTTAGGAATGTTTAGTTGTGCATGACAAACAAGAATTTAGTGTTTCTTAGTAAAGTCCCAATATGCGTAAAATTTAAAAATAGGTGAAAATACGATTTAGATGTAGAACTTTTGTCTTACATCATATTGAATCATTTTATTTAAAAATTATATATTTACTTTTTCTCTTTTTAAATAAAATCCATCGAGTGTTATGTTGAAATTGTTAAGCCCCAACCTGCCCATCAATGAGAGGTTTTGACATTATCTCTTATTCGGATATTAATAATCGATTAAAGAACCATATAATTATGTTAAGCCTTATCTCGAGAGCTACATTAAGAGAGAAAATTGGACCAACTAGTTTAATTAGAAATATTAAAAATTGGCTAAAATTAGTTCAATTATATAACAATGAAATCAACTTCAAAACATATAGCCCTTTTTTGGTAATTTAATTAGATTTTTAGTAGATTTTTATAGAGATTGATAGAATGTGTGATTGAAAAGTTGTAAGACTCACAAATTACGTGATTAAAATTAATTATTATTTTACATTTAAATTAAATCTAAATTTTAATCAGTACCGAACAAGGGCATGGTTTTATCTTAAAAAGTTATTTTTTATAATTTAATATTTATTATCATTTTATCACTCATGGTAGTTCCGATTTGACTATCTAATTATTGAATCTTATCTTTTTCAAGTCAACATTCAAATAAATTTTTAGAAGATTGGAATCTCAAAGACAAGAATAACTGAAGATTTTTATATCACTGCTAGATATTACTTAATGATAGTGTTTCCACAGTAAAAGATTGATGATTTATTGTCCCCACCATGAACCTGACGTCATCATCAATGGTGTGTGATGTCATTTTCTCCATTCTCACGTGCTAAGCCTTGTTTGACAACCATGGTCTTGGAAAAAATAGAGTTTTAAATAATAATTTTTAAAAAAATGTATAATTTAGAAATAGGAAAAAATTTAAATTTAAGTGCAAAATATCTTATTTTGTAAATATAGAGTTAAAAATAAGTACGTAGAAAAAAGAGTATGAAAATAATGATTGTCAAACAGGAACTTAGGTAACCGTAAATGAATTAGTGGTGGCAGGTAACTACCAAGATTAGTTGATGAGTAATATCATTCATCATTATAATCCACATCATCTATCAATATGACAGTAACCTGTAATAATCACCAATCTAAGCCCCTGTTTGATATCCATTACCTGAAAATGAAAATGAAGGGAATAGTATTTTTTAGAAAAATAAGTGGTTGAAAAAGAAAGAAATTTTTTTTATTTACGTGTAATATTATTTTATGAAAAATTGTGTGGTTGAAAATAGAAAAGAGAAAAATATAATGTAAAGTAATTTAATTTAATGGGGATTAAACAGGCGCTAAGTAACAAGATTGTATAAACTGGTGATGACAAACACATGAATAACATTATTTTTAATTGATATACCATCCTTGGGCTTTCGACGTATAATGATAAAATAATGTTATTCATTAGTAGTGATGATGAGCAGTCATCTACATAAATATCAGTACTTATAATGATGTAATGATATTAATATCTGAATTTTCAATCACGGATAATATTTTTTGTGGTGTTAATAACAAATACATTATTTATTTAGTAACAATTTGTATAAGATTTAAAAGAGATTTTCTCCTCAACATTTCCGTCCCTATTTGATTTAAATTAAAATTAGATTTGTAATAGATATTTATAACAGTTGATGAACCATGTGATTTAAAATTGATTAAAATTGTGGATTCCACAAAATATGTGGTTGAAATGAGTTTTAAAAAATGGGCTAAATACAGACTTTATTATATTCGAACAACTGATTTTCTTTAAAATTATAATAAAAGGTTGATGATCAACATGTTAACCGAGTATTTTTCCTTATTGCGAGTGTTTTAGTTAGTAATGAACTTTTTATAATTAAAACAAGCTATAAGTTCACATTTCGCAGTTCACCTCGTCTCAATTATTTCATAACGAAGTTTGACTTTCACAAATACCATTTTACTCTAATTTCATTTTTCAATTATTATTTTTATTTTGAATATTCCACCAAACTCTGAGCATTTAAATAATTTGACACTTGTCAAAAGCTCATAAATAAATAAGAACAACCAACTAATTATACTCTCAAGGTATCTCAAACATTTATGCTTATTTTTATGTAACTTATTTTGCCCAGGTACATGTTTTTAAGCTCCTCCCAAACATGCCTCTAGTCCATCAATTCCATTTTATTTCAATTTTAGCAAGTGTTGTGGGCTATTTCAATTTTAGGAAGTACTTATTGGTCTAATCTCAAATGACATAAATTTAGCCATTATTTGATTTTGATTCTTTTAGAATCGCTTTCGTTCCACATTTATTTTCTACTACACATTCATCAAAAGTACACTAAGAGCCATCTCTAAAAAATTATTTATTAAACAAGCGCTTAATACAGGGCCTGCATATGTTTTGAACAGAAATGACGAGATAACATTTTTTACATGGATGGTAAACTTCTTAACAAGATCTACCCTACTCTATTCATACATAACAAACTTAAGTAACGCGACATAATGACTCGAATATCTTCACAGAATTTAACCCCTAACAAACCCATGAGTCATTTATTGTCCCAACCCCACCAACAAAAAAAAAATTAAAAGAAACCCATAATTTCAAAATTTATTAATTTCAATCCCTTGTGATTAGCATGTGTGGTCTAGCACTAAGGGCATGGGCCCTAAAAAAAAGAGGTCATCTCTATGGGGTTGGAGAGAAATGGTCCTTCCCACTTCTTTAAGGACATACTCTTTTGCTAATAACCATTAATCTATTTTTTTCTCTTCTTTTCACAAAAAGCCACTCAAAATTGTCACCACAGCCTGCCCACTCTATCCCCACCCCTATTCATCTGTTAAAGAGGAATTGGAATTGTTGAGGAATATTAGCCCCATAAGTTGTCACTCTCACCGCCAACAATAAGAAGGTTATTTTTAAGTTCTTCAAGTGGAATCAATCAACTTTTCCTAAAGTTGAGAAGAATAGATTCCCACATCCATAAATTCTATAAAATATTAATTAAATAATATTTTATTATTTTAATTTATTTAATAAAGATTATTGGCTAGAAGAATACCTTCTTAAAATTTGTGTTAGTAATTGAAAATTCAATGTTATGGAGGGCATGTGTGATCAATTAAAGTGTTGGGTTTTATGATACTTTTTTCTCCATTACCTTTATCATAAAGTACAAAAGGCTGCCAGCCATTTTATTTTTAGATTCTTGATGTTTGAGTTAGAATTTGTCCAAGGTAAAATACAAGAAATGATTTTTATTTTTAGAGGTTTAAATTTTTAGATGATATAGTTTAACATAATTTTAGACAAAATAAATATGTTGCGTGTGTACAAATCTTGTTGCTATCTAACTGAAAGGGGATAAAAAAAAATAAAAGAAGAATTAGTTTTCACTAGATGAGTACTTAAATATATGGTGATTACCAGTACTAACTCATTATTTTGATGAATTACATTTTTAGACACAAGAAAATTATGTAAATAGTTACTCAAATTCTCACTAATCATATTTGGTTCTAGTAGACCCAATATTTCTACTCGTAAGAACTTAAAGCTTTTTATTTAAAGTGATTCGATAAAATTTAATACATGCTCCAACAGTAGGAAGTTGGAAAATCAAATTATTGGTTTGTTACGAGGAGAGTGAATCGATCTATCTAACTAGAAAAATCACAATAAAATCCGTTAACCCTAATTCTAACTTTTAACCTTGGAACTTCGATTTTTTTAAACATATGCAAATTAAGTTTTGAAATATTAATGTTTGGTGGATGATGGAATGGACAAAATAATTTTCTAACTTGGTATTAATGAGACAATGATTTATGCATATTGCCTTGATTTTCAAATCTAGCATAGATACTAGGTGGTATGCTAAAATCAAGGAACGGTCTAAAACCTATATTCTTGCACAATATGTCGCATTATAATTGGGGAAATGCATGCATGGTATAAT